GAGGCTCATTGGCTGCTGGCTCTGATCATATGAAGCTTTTCAGGCAGGCTCCTTCGATCAACTGATTGAGGGATGGATGTCGACCGCAAGAGTGCCGACAGCAGCACCCACTGTGCGAATTTCGGCTGGCTTCAAGTTTACTGTCTTTTTAATATAACTGTCCATTTAAATAGCAAGCAAACCTCATCAAAATAATGTTTCATAGATATATCTGAATGATGATATATAATGAAGAGCGTTTCCAGAGATATTTACTAATACATAGATGACTTCCTGTAATGACTTCACTAAAGCACACTGCAGTCCACCTCCTCTGACAGTCTGTATTTTATTTTTTATTTGAAACATTTAAATATTCATCAACTGTAACACCAATTAGGAAAACAAAATAAGGGGAATTCATCAAAACTGGAGCAGACAGAATATGGCGTAGTTGTCCATAGCAACCAATCAGTTTCTCTTTTCAGATGGTTCAGTTCGGCTTTGAAAATGAAAGCTAGAAGCTGATTGGTTGCCATGCACCGCTGCACCAGATCCCGTCTGCTCCAGTTTTTATAAATTCCCCTCAATGTTCATAGACTTGAAGTTTTATGTTAATTTTGACTCGGATGTGGGTAAGTGTGTCCCACTAAAGCGCACCTGTCATGAGAGAATTACGTATGCTGCCATTGCTGACCTTCACTTTTAAGAATGATAGTCGCCTCACTCCTTGCTGATGCTTTGGCTTCACCGTTTTCTGTGTCGCTGACCCAGAACAAGCAGAGATAAAGAATTGTGACACATAATTGTCACTCATTTACACCAAGCTGGTTCAGATACGGGGCTTAACAATACTGAAGCCACACACAGCCAGGCAACTATCATTCTCCACAGAATGCCAGCAATGGCAGCGCTTATACTTTTCTCATGATATGTTTACTATAAGACATGTGGTGAGGCTTACATCAGAACTCTGGGGAAAACTATTATTAACCCTTGCAGCAGGGCTACCCCCACACTGCAAGGGTTAACTGCTCGTCTTGTTCGAGGGGGAAAATAAAAAAGGAATACTCAACCGATCCTTTGGAGCCGGCCGGCTGTGGCAGCACTCCCTTCTACCTGCCTCCTCCTACACCGCAGCAAAAGAATATACCTCGGCGTCCTCATATCCTTACACACTGTGCATAGAACGTGATGATTTACAGGACTTTAGAACACTGCAGCGGAGGGGAAGAGAGGCTCCAGGGACCGATCTAAGAGCAAGCCAGCTCCAAGGATCAGGTAAGTATAACTTTGTTATCTTCCTCCGTAGACACAAATGAGCAGTTAACCCTTGCAGTGCAGGGTAGCCCCACTGCAAGGGTTAATAATAATATTTAATGTAATATATAATTACCATAATAATATATAT